GGGGGGGGGGGGGGGGGGGGGGGGGGGGATTTAGTAGTAATTGTTCTCTATGTTGTTGAGGATTATTGGGAGTGAGTTTCACATTGGTTAATCTAGTGGAAGATCATGGGTTTATAATTGAGGAATACTATCTCCATTGGTATGAGACCTTTTGGGGAAACCCAAAGTAAAGCCATGAGAGCTTATGCTCATAAGTGGACAATATCATACCATTGTGGAGAGTCGTGTTCATCTAACATGGTATCAGAGCCATGCCTTAAAACTTAGCCATGACAATAGAATTCTCAAATGTTGAACAAAGGGTGTACTTTGTTCGAGGGCTCCAGAAAAAGGAGTCAAGCCTCGATTAAGGGGAGGCTATTCGAGAGCTCCATAAGCCTCAGGGAAGGCTTATAGTGTACCTTATAGTGTACTTTGTTCGAGGGGAGAATTATTGAGGATTATTGGGATTGAGTCCCACATTGGTTAATTTAGTGGAAGATCATGAGTTCATAATTGAGGAATACTATCTCGATTGGTATGAGGCCTTTTGCGGAAGCCCAAAGCAAACCCAATGCCGTGAGAGCTTATGCTCAAAGTGGACAATATTATACCATTGTGGAGAGTCGTGATTCCTATCATATGTTCATTTGATTGGTACCTATTGGGGCCTGTGCTTAGATCTAATTGGAGTTTTGTTTTTTGAAGAGATTATTTTCAGACAGATTTCCTTTTATATTCTCACCTTCTGGCTCGCATCTTCTGTCTGCACATTCTTCTCTAATACTTTGTGGACCAAATGAGAAAATTAGATGTCATTGTGATATGAAGTGAAAATGTGTGCCCCTTCTTCCTACTTAAACTGCGGTCTATGGGCTTAGAATTTGCTAGATATTATTTGTCTGATCCTAATTGAGGGCATCACTCAGCCCTTTTCTTTTCTTTGAATTTAATGTTTCTTTTGCGGCTTCTGCCAAATCTCTGTTCAACTTCTGATCTTTATGGTATTTTCCCCTTTAATGTTCTCTCTCTTTCTCTGTTTTCATTTTTATGTTTCCAGTGAATGGCCCAAAACGATAGCTAATTCAAAGTGTGAAGACTTTTCTATCCATTGGTCTAAAACTTGTCTATCTGTTTGTTGTGGCGGTCATATCCATTAAAAGAGGGGAGAAGATAGCTATTCCCTTGTTCTTATTCATTCCCTTGTTGATGCAGGTTCTTGATAGAGGGGAGAAGATAGAACTTCTAGTGGATAAGACAGAAAACCTTCATAACCAGGTTTGTGTCATCTCTTCTCCATTGCCCTGGTAAATGCGTGAATATGTGCATGGATTAAATAATATTTTGGAATTCAAATTATAACATGAGCATTATTCTTGACTGGAAATAACAACACTTGTTGGTTGAACCATGTCAACTGTTGAAACTCGAATAATTTTTGGTAATATAGCTGCAAATATAGTGTCACACATTCAATTCGTGCATGTTAGCAGAAGTTTGACAGAACTCATTGACGAGTTAATAAGTAAATTAATTGAGAATATGGTTCCAAGTAAGGAATGAGTCCCAAAGTTTTCATCAGAAACCAATCCCTCATTAGAAGCCCTGGAGGTACCTTGTGTATAATCTCATAACTACAAAGAACCAATGACAAAATATGCATCCTTTTCTATCTTCAATTGGGGATTTTTGTTTGTTGTACAGGCGCAAGACTTCAAGAGCAGTGGAACAAAAATTCGAAGGAAAATGTGGCTACAAAATATGAAGATCAAGTTGATCGTTTTGGGGATTTTGATAGCGTTGATCCTCATCATAGTCCTTTCAGTGTGCCGTGGATTCAACTGTGGTAAAAAATGAACACTTTCTCAAGGACAAACCTCACACTAAAATCTTTTGGCATCATGATATATTTTGAGAGAAGTAATATACATGATTTGGCTTTGGCTGTGGCTATGTATGTAGTAAACGTAACACCACGAAGTGCAGAATATCTCTTTTCTTGAAAGCAAAATTTACGTGTGAATGATATTCGTTTCCTTTTCTTTTTCGTTGTAGACAACATAACATGTGGGTTGGATTTTCAGAATTGGAGATCAAAATTTGCTTTTCTGGTTTTATGTTATATTCTTCGTTACTTCTTTCTTTGTAAGCTCTTGGGGTGTTTTTGGGGTTCATGGGGGATGTGGAAGGTGTAACATATATGTTCTAAAGGGTCTTTGTTATCCCTCAAATTGTTTGTTGACCAGTGAGTATAATTGTCAAAATGTAGTTGAGCTTCGCTAATCGGTAATGTCCAGATCAAGATTCAAATATGGACTAGAGAATAAACGATCATTTAGTTACCCCTCTCTGTAACACACATAGGAGCATTTTGTTTTCTTTAGGTGTTGCCTACTAAGATTTTTCTTTTCGTGCAGTCGAACTTATCCTTTTTCAATCAGTCTCATATGAAGAATTATTCCGTTTTAATACCTACCATCAAATCCGCATGTCTTTGACTAACTAACATGTTAGAGGTTCGATTTTCATTGTTGAACTTTAACTCCAGCTTGGAATCCCTTGATTTGTAAGGATTTCAAATCATCCATCTATACCAATTGATTTGCAAGGATGTCAAATCATCCCTCTACGTGGTTGGATACATAAAAATTAAAACTCTCATTCTTAGCATTTGAAAGCATATCAAACAAAATCTATACGGAGTGCCAAGGAAGTAGATTAATGTTCGGATGAAAATTGAGACCTATAATAGGTATGACATTTTTCGAATCTCTTCATTCCAGATCATCACCATATCATTTCAAATACTAATTTTCAGCCAACGTTATAACAAATTCATACCCCGAGAACTATTTCACAAGAGTAATATCCAAGTTTAGAAAGAATACACGAATACTTTGAGACACGACAAAAGTTGTTTGAGACACGATAAAAGCTGTTTGGTCATAATTTGAGCAATCTCCATACCTAATAAATACATTGACCAATCCACTTTAAATGAACTCAACAAACGCCAATATTAATGAATGAAAGTTGGAAAGGCAATGTGAAGAACTTAGCTCACACGGTTTTGAATTCAAAAGGCTTTCTTTTCAATTCCCATTACTTCCAAACTGTCTCAGAAAATTAAAATGAAAAGTAAAAGTCTTTCATGTGAAGCGAGTAAAGTCAAGAAAGTGAGTTCACTACCACTTGACTTCTACAATTATTATTACATTTATTTTATTTTATTTTCTACTTTGAGAATCATATTTATAATTTACTTCTAATTATTCACTCCAATTTTTTTAATGTCATAAGATCATATAGTTTTGGTTAAAGATTCAATCAAATTTGTCCACTTTTAGGTATGCATTTATTGTTTATAAAGTCTCCTCATAGTGCTGTCTCTTTCGCTTAAACGTGCATGTTCAATTACTTCCCTACCAATAATGTACCAAAAAGAAAAGGGAATATGCCCCATTTCCTCACCATTTCATCGACTTCAACGACATATAAAGATTGATGATTGGAACGTCCAACCTCTCTATCAAAACTCAAAAATATATATCTAAGTCGATCAAATTGTCAATTAATATATAAATGTTTTAACAATATCATTGGGTTTCTTCGATTTCATTTGGATCCTCTTTTTCCTGTAAAAAAATGGACTACGTTGGATCCCCACGACCAAAACTGCTACCATCCGTGTAAGAATACTATTCGACTTTCTTCCTCGTTCTTCGCTTAAAACTCATCTTTTAAGCAAACAAAAAAGGGCCTTCAAACCATAGCTTCCTCAAATCCTATCCTTAAAGGTAGAAAAAGGTTCATTTTTTAAAAATAGCTATTGATATCATGGGTGCCCACTAACCCAATATTTGGAGTAGAATACAATCTCCTTCTCTGTTTCTCTGTCTATCTGTCATAGAAAGCTATGCATCAATGTCATCCATATTGGGTGGGGAAATAATGTTGGTTTCTTTCAGAATTTAATTACAAATTGCTATGAGTGAGACATAATTATTGAACCCTATGAATGAGTTAGGTATGCACTAAACTTAGCTTTGAGGTTGCCATCAACTTCCAATATCCCACCCATTCATTGCTTTAACCTTTTGTGTTTAAAAAGAAAAAAACTTCACTTTATAAAAGAAGAAGAAGAAAAAAAAAAGGGTAGATAGCTAGGCACTAACCTTAGCTTAAGCTTGAGGTTCTTCCGCTTAACCATGACACTTAACCATGGTTAAGAAATAACTATGAGATCTCATATCGGTTGGCAGGAGAACGAAATATTATTTACAGGGGTGTGGAAACTTTTCACTAATAGACGCGTTTTAAAAACTTCACGGGAAAACCTAAAAAGGATAATATCTGCTAGCAGCGAGTTTGGACACTTACAATAGAGATTTAACAATTTCATTGAATAGTAGATCCCATGACACTTAACCATGGTTAAGAAATAACTATGAGATCCCACATCGGTTGGGGAGGAAAACGAGCATACTCGTTTTAAAAACTTTAAGGGAAAACCTAAAGAAAACAATATCTGTTACCGAGGGACTTAGACCGTTACGATAGAGATCTAAAAATTTTGTTATTCATTGAATAGATTAACAGTAATCAACGATACCCATATCATTAAATTCATAGTTTCTTAAAAGTAAACAATACGTCGACAAAACCTAGAAAGGTAGGACAAGACCGTAGAGGTCGAGAAAATGTGTCATAAGAAGCAACATGGGACACTTTGAAGGTGATGGGGAATAATAAATTTTTGTCCCAAAGGCAGGTGCAAGGTTGTGTAGGGGTCCAAACCCTTGTTTTGTTTAGGGCTTTATTTGTAGGGATTTTAAATCAACCCCATACCTTTATTATAAGGTAGATTTTGTCCACTCCATGCTCCCACCAAACCCCCACATGGGAATATCTCTGCCAAAGTGGGGAAACCAGCTTTCCAATATAAGGACCAGTCAGTAGTCCCTTCAAGGATTTAAGGGCAGTGCTGTGGGGCACTCCCATTGCCCTCACTATAATAGTAATAAACAAAGTGGGGTTCCCACTCCTTTGATTAATCATTCACGAACCCCACATTGACTTGTCCTGCCACCATGTCCATGTCCTTCTCACTGTTAAATAAAAGCTCTGCCTTATTTAGTTAGGTTTGTAAAAAACATATGAGTTCACGCGAATGGAGGAGCGTGATTCTAGGGGCCATTGTTTTGGCAGAGTGGCGGAGTCTTCGTCCACTTATTCTATTTGTGTATATTTGGTTTTTCTATTTTTGTAATTAGATTTATTATTTAAACCATTCAACGGATGTAAAATAAAAATATCGAGTCTTCAGCATTACCAGCGAATCTCTCTCTCTCTCTCCTTTTACTTCCGCTAATTTTTCCTTCGAAGAAACCTTCGGCCAATTTTTTTTTCGTCGACATCCGATTTGCCAAAGTCAACAAGTGGTATCAGAGCCTGGTTGAAGCGATCGGTAGTATACCATCACAGAAGAGCCAACCTATCAACAATCAAGTTGAATAGCTCAAGTGGTTAGAGCGTCGATCTAATAACACACAGGTCTTAGGTTCGAGTAGAAGAAAATGCAAAGCACAAAAATAAATACATCGTGGGGCCCATCTCAAGCAGGCTCGCTCACTCCTCCACGCCGCCAAGTGCCGGCATCTCCATCACCACCACGAAGAGGCCGTGGCCGACATCGTGATGACGGGCGTCGAGTAGTTGTTGAGCGAGTGATCAGAGAGACAACGACCGCCGTCGTTCAGTACCCGATGTTGACAAGGTCCAACTACAACGAGTGGGCCTTGTTGATGCGTGTTAACCTACAGGCGCAAGGGTTATGGCACGCTGTCGAGCCAGAGGAAGGAGAAACAATCGAGTACCGGGAGGATCGGCTGGCGTTCGCCGCCATATTACGATCTGTGCCCCCAGAGATGCTGGCTTCTCTTTCCACCAAGCGCACCGCACAATCGGCCTGGGAGGGAATCAAATCCCGTCGGGTCGGTGTACAGCGAGTGCGGGAATCCAACATCGAGCAACTGCGAAAGGAGCTCTCGGAGATTCGCTTTAAGGACGGCGAATCCGTCGATGATTTTTCAATGCGGATCACGGGGCTCGCCAACAGCATCACCACCCTCGGTGGTGGCATCAGCGAGACAGAAATCGTGAAGAAGATGTTGCAGGTCGTTCCCGATCACCTCGAGCAAGTCGCGATTTCAATCGAGACATTGCTTGACGTGAACGACCTAACAGTGGAAGAGGTGACCGGAAGACTACGTAACGTCGAGCAGCGGAAGAAGAATATCACTTCAGCTGTTGACAAGGAGGGCCGTCTACTCCTCACGGAGGAGGAATGGCTTGCACGCCTAAAGCTCCGCGACAACACCGGCGAGAGCAACGGGTCCTCCTCCAGCCGCAAAGGCGGTAAGAAGCCATGGATGTCCCACGGGCGCACGCGCGGGAAAGATGAGAATCAAAAGAAGGAGTCGACCAATGGCAGGCCGATCCATTGCTCGAACTGTGGGAAGAGAGGACACCTGGGCAGAAATTGCTGGAGCAAGCTGAGGAA